GACTTACCCTGCAAGTTGGGAACTTCGTCACTGTCATCTGCAAGCTGAATAAATCTATTGACCCCCTTATGCAACTGAAGGGTGTGCTCCATCATCCTGAATAGCGAGGCCCATCTTGTGCAAATCCATTTAATAGCTCGAGACTTGGCTCGTTGACCTCAGCACAACACTTCTGAAAGAAGGTTCGCGCCTGAGGAGATTTTCGTACCTGCATGAATGGTTCATTAAAATTTAAATGGGCTGGTCAGATGAAGACTTACCTGCGTAACAAGCATGAGGGCTTTTCCAACAGTGTCAGCAACCTCAAAATTGGTCATTTCATCATCTTCATCGTCATCAGCTGCATTCTTGTTGAGAATACTTGCTGGAGTAGGAGCAACATCCTCAACGAAGTGCTTGGCTGCAAGGTGTAAGGCGTGCTCCATACAACTGAATAGATGTTAGTATATAATATTAATAGAATGTGATCACTTACCACACATGATACTCGCCTGCGATCCATTTTGTACCGGAAGGGTCAATAGCGTTTGCGACAGTCTGAATTGCAGTGTCGTTGTTGGTGGCGTTGTCAGCCATAAACCAACCAAGCTTGTTATGAATGCCGTAGTCATCGATAGTTTGTATTAAAATTCGGCCAATGTTGCTGCCGCTATGATTACCATTAATGGTGGTAAATGCGAGTTGCTCCACCTTCAGCTTCCACTCATGAGGTTTCCCCACTGGGGAGTCAATGTAATGCACCGTGACAGATAGGAAAGGTACACTGGGTTCAGAGGTCCACGAGTCAAAAGTGATAGATAGATACCTTGCTGTCGACTTGCTTCATTTTGTCTTTGATGCGCTGGACGGTGAGCTTGGCTCATTGAAGAATCTCATCACAAGTTTTGGTACGATGGGGAATGTCTCTGTCTGTAAGGGAGGGCTGGAGGTACTGAAGGAGTCGACGGAATGGTCCCTTATCCATGAGTTGGAACGCCTATGTATGGTATAAGTGTCTTAGTTACACAAGAAATTGTAATCACTCACCTCATCATCAGATACAATTAGCTTGACAATATAATCCATCAGGCTGGACTTGGTGAATTCAGGTATTTTAGGTGTGAGCGACTGGTCTAATGTTTTCTGGGTCCCATCGGTTGCTTTGCAGTTGGAAGGTATGGCACAATTGTGCATCTTGATACCTTGTTCCTTGCACCGGTCTCAGTAGATAGGGAAGTGAAACTTTGCATTACGAGCAATATGAGTACAGCAAGTGGAAATGCTGCCTTTGAAAAAGCATTTGTTCCATGGTACATTGTTAGCTCTGTAATCAATGTTAGTTATGTGTGATCAATTCAAAATGTTCAAAACATACTTGCATATTTCGCACCACCAGCTGTCTTCATATGCTTGAGTGTGTGGATTGACACAACCTTTCTCCTGCATAAATACAGTCTTCAAATCAGCACTGTGCTCCTCTTTCGTAGTGTGCTTCCAATGCTCCCGATCCCCATCTCCAAGCGCCTTGGTCCTTGCATAGGCTTCTTCATTGTTATCCTCATCTTCTTCTTCCTCATCTGTGACATCCTCTAGTGCGGGGGCTTCATCATCGTCATCGTCAAGGCGACTGTCCAGATGGGTACCAGCTTGCACTCACTTGGGTGCAGGCTGGCCTCAAGGAACTGCTGGAGCCGATTGCTTGGCTGGAGCCACATTGACGGCTTCATGAATTTTCTCCATTGGCTTGACCGCTCGACCTGAGTGACAAGAGATAAAGGCAGTTATTTTGCCATTGGATGCAGGAGGCGGAGGTGGGAGTGGAGGGAGCATGGGTAAGTCATCGTCAGGATCGTTGTACCAGTCAATGATGCTAGCGTCTTTGAGTTGGCCATCGAATGCAAGTGCGCATGACATGCTCATAGCGGGAAGGGTGAATGTGGAACCTAGAGTAGCTTGTTTATACAAAAATTTATGATATATCAAAAAATATGACGCACCTTGAGCATACCATTGCCATGCAATTACTGGTGCAGTTAATTGATGTTGAAGCTCAAAGGAGCTAGATGAGAATCCTGATGATAGTTTCTAGACATAAAAGACATTATAATCAGTATAATAATAAAACATTGAGCTTACCGTAACATTGAGGAGATCGATGAGGCAGTTGGATGTGTCCAATGGATATATGTTGAGTGTTTCAGTTGTCAAGTAAAAGCCGCTATTCATCGTCCCAAGATCAATGTAACCAGGACTGACAATGGCCATGCTCGTTGAAGTTGCCAGAAGATCAGAAGAAAGAATCAAAGTATTATTAGTAGCAATAAGGACGTCGAGGATCATATACAGAAGTAAAAATATCTCGGTCAGTTTGGACAGGTTCGAACGGGTCCACAATTCTCCGCCATCAGCCGAACCCCGAACCTAATAATAGGTTTGGTCCTCCTAGTATACCGAACCTCAGACCAAACCCATGGTCCAGTTCGGATACATTCAGGTTCGAACCGGACTCCGGCAGCACTATAGCTGATGATACATTATATGAAGGTACTGGTGCTTACATCTCAGTATCCGGGAGGAAGACTGAGATGGCTAATTCTACGAGAGACCATTTTTATGTACGGGTAGAGTAGGAATGAATGAAAATAATTCTGAAACCTTTTGATATGACTTTCGGCCGACGTCGAGCAATGTCGGAAATTTCCAGCGAGCCTTCGAATTCAATTTAAGACATTTTAAGGGATCTTTTCACACGGTACACTTATAATGCATGTTAATGGTGTACGAAAAAATTTCAAGGCACTTATAATGTCTGTCCAAATCATGTTAAGGCACTGTAATGATCCTGGGTGGCGTGTGATGAGCCTAACATTATAAGGCCATGAAATGATAGTGTAAGCATTGTAAACGGTAGCAAGGTAAATTCAGACAATTTCAAGACTCGTCGCTTGTATTTCGATGCTCTTGCTGGAATTCCCAAATAATGATAATAATAGTAATATTATAATGATAATAGTAGTAAAAAACAGCAATATTGGTCGCATTTGTACTGATCGCGATACAGGTAAAAAAAATAGTGATCGTAATACTCACATTATAGTAATCTGGCAGGTGGTATTTCTCGGCTGAAGGTCATGGGCTTGGTCCTGAATAGAGAAGCGAAAGGCATGGCGAGGCGAGGCGAGGCGCGAAGGTTGGGTAGCGATTCAGAGTGTGGGTCGAGGAGGTAGAGGTGGCGCCTGCGCAAACCTAAGACAACGCCCCCCAAACAGCCAAGCCCGCGAAAAAGGACATGAGGCCGACCAAGACACCGACATAGGCAGCAGTATGCACGCCTACACATGGCAGGAGGGTCGGTGTGTGCAGCACTGCGAGGCTCGTGTGGAGGAGGAGGACGAGGGAGGTGGTTATGATGAATGGAATATGCGAGCTGTCGTAGGAATGCATTTGTGAGGTTGCGTGAAGGAAATCTTTGAGTTGGTCAGTTACAGGGACGGATGACAGTTGGATTGATACATCTGAGAGGGGGAGGGAGAGCGCACGAGCTGTTACGACTAGGAAAGGTCGAGCTCTCCCTAGGCGGAATGCCTAATCAGATAGCGGGCTCGCTACTGGAGAGACGGTTTCACAGCTCGGCGGAATGCCAAGGTATCCTCCGACAAGCTTGGTAAGTGCGGCGGCTCGTCAAGCTGTAGGGCTAGCAGAACTATACGACTAAAGGTAGCGTCAGCTTGCCTTTAGGTGCGACTAAGACTGAAGGACTGGGACTGTCTTTCAGAGGAAGTTCTGGGGAAAACCTAGTAGAATCAAGTACGGAAATACATGATCCTGTCTGCTCTATATACTGTCGTCCGTGTGCACAGACCAATACTACGTTCGGTAGGTAAGTATGAGTGTATCCATACACGGGCATGTTATCAGATGCCATGCAGGCGATTATCTATACATGAGGCATATCATGCCTCTTCTATCAGTCCTTGAGGCGAAGCGTGCCTTCAAGTCTAACTGCGCATGCTGCAGCATGCGGCTTCTCTTCTGGCCATGAAGCAGAGCTTCTCCATGATCCGGGTCGAGGACCTCTAGGTCCATCCAGATGTTGCCTAGGCTGGTCTAGGTCATCTAACGGCATCCAGGCCATTCTAAGTATCTCTACGTGTCTCCGTTGAGTCGGTAAGTCTTCCAAGACGGTGCATATGGCGGGATAGGGGCTAAGGTCAGGATGACCTTCGTACGAGGGGTTCTCGGTTACATGTTATTGTAACATGAGCGTCGTGTTGAGAGCGCTTCCGAATAATATCAGATTTCATACTAATGGGATGAGCAGAGCTGTGAAGCTTGTAGTAGAGGCCACATCTGCATGTATATAAGATATTGGTACGAATATAGAAGGAACAACAAATGAGAACTTACACGTTGCAAACGGTCTTGCCTTCAGCGTCCTTCCTCCGCAGAGGAGTTGCAGTCGTGTGACAGTTGTAGCACTGCGCGCTACTCACAAGGAGGCAGAAGTGGTCAACTGTGGCTAGGGATCGAGATGTCCTCGTCGTTGAGAAGGAGAAAAATTTTAACATTGACGACGCACCATATTGATAGACTTGATTTCAATGGACAAGCATTGAATTGCCTCGAGAGAGAGAGTTGGTATTAATGCATGGATTGAGATAAATAAGAGTCGAGTAGTCGACGGAATCTTCGGAGTTGATGACAACGTCTGTTCAGAGGTGGAAATGGTTGAAATGAAAGAAGACTCAATAGAAGTGTTGATCAGAATAGAGCTCAACTTGTTTGGCCTTGTGATTATACTACCCTAATTGGGATGCAATTTTACGACTTAGTAATCATTTAAATGCTGAATCAAGAGATGTGCAATGTGCTGTTGGGTGGGGGCGTCCGAGAATTAATAGCTGTTGGAAGGTGACAATGGGTAAGCTGGAGTTAGCATTTATAGTTGTAGGTAAATGTAAACAAATCAGAGGGCGACAGGTTCAACAAATTAATAAAGCGAGACTCAGATTCCACTAAAATTACTTCCTCCCCGACACCTTCCTCAGTTTGGCACCACCATTGCGTGTAACACGCTTGAGTGCTGGAGGAGGAGCCAAAGGAACAACAGGGACCACGTCCAAGTCCACTGGAGTCTGAGCAGCCTGAGCGGTAACTCAACGTTGAGCCACAGACACCCTACCACCCTTGGATGCAGATGGCGCCAAGTCAGTTCTAGCGCCATCCAGCGAGAGCTCACCAATGTCAACTTTGAGTTGGAGCTGAGTGGTGGTGGCGGGCCCTCCCGGATTTCTGATAGACATTGCAGTCTGGTAGTTGACAGTGGCGACTGCATTCATGTCAGCACGACTCGCAGAAGTCGGAGCATAAGTGATGTGTGAAGATGACAGAAGTTGTGGTGCGGGAATGGGGATGGTTTGTGGTGCGGAGGCAGGATCTTCTAACTGCTGTAAGAAGTCGTCTTCCCAGGTGTGAGGTTGGGAGGCAGAGGGTGGAGTAGGGGTACCACTAGTAGCTAGGACTGAGCTCGTGCCGAAAACCTCCTGGTTGTAATAGTTGATCACACTCGTAGCCCATGGGCTGCGCTTGAATAGTCGCTCCAAGTAAAAATCAAAGTCTTGCGCATAATCAATTTTCGTGGCTGGTCCGGTTGCTGTGAGCTCTTGATCATGCATTAACAAGAAACGCGCCTGAGAACGAGACGAGATCAGCATGCATGCAAAAGTCAGAAGATTATAATGCGCTCACCACAATAGCAGCACCTGCGATCAGACATTCTGTGACACACTGCGTAGACCAACGCTGACCCCTGGCCTTCGGATGACCTTTGGTCTTCCCAGACAGCGAAGCCTTCCCGAATATTTCAACTCGGATGATCTGAGGGACAGAGTCAGCCCTAACGTACTGCTTGGACAGCAGCTGAATACATCACTCACCTTGGCCATGACTGGTGTTTTGAGGAAGGCGTCTGGAACTAGAGCAGAAGGATCCATGAACAGAATGGGGGCTAGACATGTATACTTTTTGCCACCGACATCCTTCTTTAAGAGAGCAAGGAGTTGCGCATTCTCCTTCTTTTTGGCAGCCTCGTCAGTGAAGACGGTCGGGTCGAGTTTTAACGAAGAGAAGATCAAACTGGCGCAGTCCTTGAGACTATGCAGTATGTTCGACCTCTCGGAATTAACCGCAGCATGAAACTAGAGTATCTCATACATAAGTGTTGATGCGCAGACAGAGGGAGAATCGGACATACCACTGATCCAAACTGTGGGTAGGTCTCCATTGGTTTATGCAAAGCCTTGGGTATGCACTAATAAAGCTCAGCCATCGCACCATTGAGTTTCGCTTCAGGTGAAGACCAACGTGTGTCGCTGCGTGGATCAATGTCTGGCTGGGGTTTTGTCGGAAAGAGCCCGCTCATGACCCAAAAGTAGTTGAGCATGGCGTACATCTTGCCCGCACGGGCGATGTCATTGTCGATGGTTGATGTCTTCTTAAGGACTCGGTTTCGGCTGCATGCAGGGACAGCAGCCTGGAGCATAGCGTGGTCTTTCTTGAGAGCACGCAACTCAGACCGAACAGCAGTATATGTTTGTTGCGCCACTTCTAGTGCCTAGAGATTCAACTGCTACATCAACCGAACCAAGAGAATGGCAGCATGAGTGAACTCACCCTGCGGACTTCGTGCATGGGCGCGTCAGGCTGAGGCATTGTCAAGACCATCCTCAGGGTGTCGAGATCGCTCTGGGCATCAAACTCGTTGTCTTGCTCATCATTTCCAGATTCGGACTCAGTATCCTCAATAGCATCGAGTTCTGCTGTGATGTCATCTGAGGAATATCCAGCCTGGGGCATGACAATTAAACTAAGACACAAGAAATTTAAGTCTGAACAGTGGAGATATGAGACACGACAATTTCACTTGCCTGGTTCCATGTTATAAAGACGTGACCCTGCACAGGGCCAGTTGCTCCGCAGCATCTTGCCGTCCTTGCTGTTGACATGCGGCGTGTTTAGTTCAGCCTTGGCAAAGTCGACATGTAATAAAAGCTGCAGGTACTTTAACTTCAGTACCGATTACTATCAAATGACTAATGAACACGACAATTTGGACTTACAGTGGGACAGATTCTCGTACGTATCTTGAGTCCAGTGATACGATTGGATTCGATCTTGGGTTTCTTTGCTACTCTCTCTTTGTCAAGTAGAAGCTCCTCGTCCTCTTTAGTGCCCAACGAGGGAAACTTGTGTTTGCTGCGTGTAGTCATGCTTGAGATTTTCTCGAGAAAGGAGCGTTTTAGCGAGCTCTAGACCCTGCGTCAACTCGTTCTGCAACCGCAAAAGCTTATCGGATGACGTCGCTTGCGAAGCACGGGTCTTGAGGCCCTGTGACACGAATCAAGAGTGTCTTGTGGTGGTCCAGTAAATAGACTTGCATGGTGCAAGAACTATTGGAGATATGGGAGAGCGGAGCTGAGTACGGATTTGGTGTGCATGGTGTGGGCAGAGGAGATGGCTGTGTCGTTGGAGATATGGGAGAGCGGAGCTGAGTATGGATTTGGTGTGCATGGTGCGGGCAGAGGAGATGGCTGTGTCGTTGGAGATATGGGAGAGTGGAGCTGAGTGCAGTCAGACAAGATGATGTTAAGAAAAGAGAGATCTACATACATATCTGGACACTGTAGTTCTGATTCAGACTGATAGAGGTGAAGTAAGGAGACATTGGAGCTGGTCACTGGCATGCTGGATGTGACTTCATGCGCACAAACATGTCACTATCGATGTGGTCGACCACGAGGAATTCATCTCGGTGATCAGGATCAGGGAAACAAACAGCGCCACGAATGAAAGACTGGACTGGAACGAAGATCGAACTTGCCCTTGGGACAGCTTTGACACGAGTAAGTCGTAGATCACGGTCCGACCTGCGAGAAGCACCAATGCCAGCAGTGAATGGCTGAACCAGTGCAAACTCGAAGGAACCAACATCCAGAAGCTGACAACTGAATATGAAAACAAGGCGAACAAACACTGATACTTCCTGGGCGAGTTGTATAAGTGCGCAGTCATAGCGCGGTTGCCCATGGAAGCCTGGAGTGCATCGAAGGTAGTCGGTAGTTTGCTTCCAGTCGATGGTAGACTCGTAGTGAACTTTGAGAAAGCGATGTTCACGAATCTGGTTCAGAAATACATAAATCAGTACAAGACACATACTAAAACAAGATCAACTCACCAAGAAGTTTGTCGGTATGGTGACCCATCTTTCCAGTCGATATCCATACGTCGGTAATGAGTTGTTGATAAAATCGGAAAACTTCTTATGAAAGCCTTGAAACGCACGATCCAATTGGCCGCCATGGGTCTCGATGTCTTGGATGGCTACAGGCTGTTGCATCGAACCAAGTTTGATGTGCCCCTCAAAAGCAACAGGATTCGGGTCTTTATCGTCATCATTGCCCTCTCCTGCCAATGTGCGCCGCTCGTCAAGCACGTCCACGTGCGCTCTCAACATTTTGGCTGCGAATTTGCGCGTGTCAACACGCAATATCTAACAAGATCTTTACATGAGTGAACATCAGATGCTATAATGTTAGAAACATACCTGGTCAGCGACGTCCTTTCCATTTGACTGGCGCTCGTAGGCCTCTTTGAGGGGGCCATGAAGCTTCTCATTCGGACGGGTGCTGTAGTTGTGTACTGCACCCTTCATTCGGATGCCCCTAGTTGCGTGCTGCCAGAGATGCGCCTTTGGAAAGTCCCAGTCAAGCTTGAGACCTACGATGGGAGAATTGAGAGCACATTCGATGTATTCCTAGAATGTGTGATCAACAATCTATCTAAAAAGTGAATGAACAAAACATTTACCTTGAGTGCGCTATCAAAAACGAGTAGTTCAGCATCAATTGCTGCCAGTGTGCTTGACGTATGCACATCGAGACCAATATAGCTATCCAATTGCAGATAGCTACTAATAACGCGAAGAAGTTTATACCCTTCTGGGCTGGTCCTCTGGTTCAAGACGTTTACCGCAGAATAGAAGGCTTGCTGCGCGTCAGTTAGTATTAGAAAGCCAAAAGCCTCATGATACGTACCTTGGATAGATCTTGCATCTTGTTACCATCACTGAAGGTAATGTGGATGATGGTGCTGAAATGATTAAGATTGCGCCATCAAGGGAAACTAGCAACCCTACCGAAGGTCATGAGTTGATGAGAATCACGATGTGAATGACTTACTGTTTCTCGACCTTTGACTCTTCATCACGTCCAAGCGCTTTGAGGATTTTCTTCAACTCCTCGAGTAGGTGCCTCCACATACCAAGATGGAGGGCATGAAGGCGGTCAAAACTGATGACTTGATGAGGGTCAGAGTGCGCAATGAGCCAGAAAACATTCTGTTGATGAGATATTAGTAACGAAAACATGGAGGCGAAACGAGAGAGTGAATATTGCCGATAACTTACCGCGACAGCACGCAATCCTAATGCCTTGAGTAGTTCCTCGCCTCGAGCTTTGCTGACCTTGTAAACATTGAGTGCGGCTATTGCTTCTTCCACTGTTCTAAATGCAAACGTCTTTGATAGCTCGCTAAGTTCTTCGAGCGGTACAAGACATACTGGACAGGGACATTTGATATGGTGGCCACAAATGAGAGACATCATACATCTAAAAACAGTCTAATATCAGATTGCGGACATGTGTAAGAATATAGAACTTACTGTTCTTCATAATCAGCAGAAAGTATCAGAATAATGGGAAACAACCAGCGTGCGATCTTGTCATAGCAAGTATGTGAATAACCAGACTTTGAGTGTTGCGCGACCAGTTCCAACAGTTTTAAGAATGCCTCGTGCCATATGACGCGCTTGAGGTTTACGAAGCCTGGCTTGCCTTCTTCGTCTGCATCTTCAGATACCTGCAACTATAATGAGTCACGTCAGAAGATTCAATCAGAATGTTGATGTACGATTGGCAACCACCCGACAACACGGCCACCGCCGATGCCCTCTCCGTTCCGTATGCCAACTGGCAAATTCGCGCAACGGACCACGACAGGATATCCCTTTACTGTACCGTGGGACGACAGTCTTGTCTTGTCCGCATACAGGATGAAGCAGAATGGAGCAGCCTTAATGTCACTTGGAAGGCGACTCTGATTTGTTGATGCTGAGTGAGAGTAGATAGTGATATTAACAAAGATTACATGCCTGGACGTCTCACCATCGATCACCCATCCAAGGCTCGTTGTAAAAGTGTTCAGCCTCCCTGCCGTTGTGCTTGAAAACTCGTTGTGCATCCCAGACAAAATGCGGAGCAAGCAGCGGATTAGCTAACAAATCAAGAGCCCAGTCCCACAGAGGCAGCGCATGAGTCTCATACACTCGTTGTTCTTTTTTGTAAGGAACGGTGATGTCGTGTTTTACAAACTAATTCACAACATATATCATACAAAATGTGAGATTTATTAATGACATACCGGCGTCACCTGAGCAGCTGCGTGTTCCCAAGCTTTGCACAGCTCATTATCATTTGAAAAAGTTACCCGGCTCTCTCCTCTCGATATGCGACCAATGAGCGCAAGGAGCGCATTAATTTGTGATTTATTGAGTGCGGCATTGAGTGCGATCTCCGCAAACTCAAAGTCGCCGCGGGAACAGAAAGGACGCCAGGGCTCTTCATCTACAGGGAGCTCTTCCTCAGGATGCGAATTGACGCCGAACTCCTCAAACGTTTGAAGGAGTGGTTCACGACCAGCAGAAGGATGATACATTGTTTTGAATTCCATGGGCTGTGGAGGAGGTATTGCAGGTTGCGGTTCAACAGAATGTCGCTGGCTGTTGGCTATGCAAAAGAATCAGTAAGCAATACAGGTGAATATGGTGCACACTTACCTAGGCTACCAGCACCTTCGAGGTTCCCATTGTAGTTCCCATCGTAGGCTTCGAAATCACCAGCGTCCAGGTTATCTGCTGGCAGCACAGGGTCAGCTAGTGTCAGTTGGCGTTGGAGGAGCACACAAAGAATATGTGAGACATACCTAGAGGACTATGATCCCTGATTGCAGGGGGCGCATTCTGAATCCCAGCAACTGATCGTGATGGGCCAGCGCTAGGGGGTGTTATCATGTCCATGTCAGTGTGAGCCTGCTGCCGAGCTGCATACCTCAATATTGTCAAAGGAAACATCAAGAGCGGGTAGCAGAGGACTCACCTCTTTTCTGATCTCGTGCATATTGAATGGCGAACTCCGCTTGTTCCGCCTTGGTGTCCTTCTGCTTCTTGCAGCTTGTTTCGTGCTTCTTGAAGCCTTGGGTCTTGAACTTCTTGCTACAATGCGGGCATAGAAGCTGCCCTGTCAGAGTTTCTTCGGAGAAGTTGTATTTGCTTCGATGAGTGCGAGAGGGACCCATGCTGATGGCGATGTGATATTGCACGATGGATGTATTGTTTATCGATGTCATTGCATAAGAATATCTCACGCTTTTGATGACCTCAGCCGCCTTGAAAGGCACTTTTAATGTACCTTTCAATGCACATGACCCAACTTGTAAGCCGGCGGCATTACAATGGCCTGTGACTTTTTTCTGACAAAACGCCCGAAACTATGCGCTCGTACCTAATCCGGCGTATCCGACGCGCATGAGAGCACTCTAATAAAAGGATTATTGGTTTACTCGTCGCGCCGTGGATTTGTTCAAACAAACATAATCATCGATCAGTTCCGAACGAGTCAAGCTGTCTCTGGTGATGTCCAAGATAAACGCCAATATCATACATTCCTTTGGAATCCAAGAGTGTGATATGTTCTATGTATCAAGATATCACAAGATCAAACTCTTGGCAGGATCAAGAACAATGAGAAGGTAACGGAGTGACCTAGTATTCAGGGTAACAGTGATGTACAAGCCCTTCCTTATATGCATTACACCCGAACTTATCTAATTTGTCTTGTCATTCCACCTGGACATGATGAGAATACTCAGGACCAGATCATGGAGACATGCGCATGAATAACTCACATATCCAAAAATAACTTCCACAGCACTGAAAACATGATTCCTTGGAGGCCGTTGGCCAAGATACGGGTTTTAAGTCCTCGCCCGAACAAACCCTTGAGGCCGTCTGCTGCGATGACGGCGCGGGCAGCATCGGCATATCCAATTGGGGTAGCATTGACTTGTCGGTAGGTCTTTAGCACGCGAAGAGAGTTAGAGATGGTGTCAGAGGCGACGGAAGCTGCAAAGCCGATTACAGCAGAACGGAGGAGTTTCTGCACTATAGTCACTGGAAGTGGGAGGACTGCGTTGAGATAGTTGTACGTCCCGAACCACTGGGTAAAGAATGAGTAAAGAATGCATGTCCCAGATTAAAGTGCTTACTGGGTAGTGACCGACGAATGTGGCAGCGGCGGTCGCGAGAGCACCATACCACAAGCTGCCAATGCCGTACTTCTTAACCTAAGAGAACATCAGAACAAGCAGATACCATATATGTAAAGATATACCCTGGCCCTCAGTAATGTAATGCCTTCCTTACCCTGCGTCTGCATAGTCGTCTTGATCGTGTCAACTGGGGTCAATGTCATGCGGAAACAGGCCGCAGCAACACTTGCGAACAGTGTTTTTACAAGCGTGGGCAAGGTCTTCATGTATGAATTACTTTGAAGGAGGGCGAGAATGCCTACATTGGCAGCGGTGTCGCCAAAACGGGATACTGGCCCTTGAACCAGGGCTGCAGTGAGGCCTTGGTAATACCGTGTCCAACCGCCATCAGCGTATAAAATCTTGGTAGCCTGCGTCGTTGTTGTGCCGTATCTGTATTGGTAATTCATGATGGTGCGCAGAGGCTATATGATTTTCAGCGGAAATCGGAGATATTCGGTATGAGCATCATACCATGAGCGCCAAAACCTGCAACACCATGGCTGCCATGACATCAAAATTGTGACATAGATGTTCCAGTGAATGGATTTACTTACCTACAGCACCACTTAACCCTCCCCCTAGCGCACTCTTGAACGCTTTTCCAAAGTCAAACTAACAACGACGAACGTGAGGAAGAAAATAGATATTATACAAGCAGACCACGACTTACATTCACATCATCAGCGTCAATGAAGCCTTTGATGAATGTGGCCAATATAAATACTCCTAACAATGTCAGAACACCATAGACAGTTATTCGCTTCCCGGTCCACGGCTCTTTCGGGGAGTCACTCGTTTCGTCTGTCAAGGGAGGTGCCTCTTCGTCCTGAGTGCGACTTGAGCTGTCTGGAGGGTTATCATGATAACTTGACTGCTTGGAGTTGGACAGTAAAGGCTGCTCCTCTGTAATGTTAATGCCGGCAGACATGGGTGATTGGGAGCATCAGACAGAGGTCGCACACCGGCCATGATAACGAGATTGCTGACGAATGTGGAATATTATTGGAAGACCTATTATAGTATTAGCCAGGCCACCGCGTGTGCTTTGGATAAGAATTAGCTCTTTGGTCAAGTGGGCAAGCCTTCGCAACCTGGAGGTTTATCTGACTTATACTCACGATGCTCCGGCTCCGCGTGGTCCAGGTCAGTCCAGTTCCTAACGTCACTCAGTGGCACCGATCAGTTTCATGCTATCAAAAATTTGGTTGCACAATGAAGCAAGTTGATGCCAGGCGTTCGCATTATGGGAGCGTGTAACTGTCCCCAACAAGTACTATTAAGAAGTGGGAGAGGGTTCTGTGGAAAATAGACATGCCGTCTGTCATTTAATGCGTGGAAAACGCTTTCCGGTTGCCGATGATCACTGCTGCAAACCTGCCGATCAAATGAATGATATAACTCATGAGCATACACCCTGATCAAACCACGGTTCGCCATAAAATATCGAAATCACCCTGCTGGGTATAGTCACGGTATACCATGATATTGTCAAGACAAACGTTACGAAGAACGGGGCGATCAGCGCCCGCCGAGCGTTCATCCGCCTCACACGGCGTTAGCCGACAGTACTACCGTACAAATAATGGCAATTACTGGTAGTACCTGGTCCTGAGTCTCCTGTCAATCATTGCCACCGCTTCGTATGATTTATACTGTCCGACTTGCATCGACTGGACACGGCCAACCACAATCCGAGTCGATGACCGAAAAAGATGCCAAATTCACCCTTTGAGTCTTGCACTGCCACGACTAGGCTCCCGCTATAGCTACACATGAAGCCTTTGAAGCTTCGAGTTGAACAAGAGCTCTAAGGCACACAACAACGCAAATTTACACCAGGGTCAATCAATCACCAGCTGATAAATTTTGTCAAGTTGGCAGTGCAGGGAGTCATCGGTCGTGACCCTCTTCATCTCGACCTCTAGCCTCTAGGCTCTCGCACTTGTCCTGGATACCGCTGCCTGATTACAGACGGGAACGTTGACATTGGTTCATCTCAGCTCCCGAAATTTGCTAAAAGACACCTCACGTTCGTTCCTGGACCATCCTTTTTTCTTCTGTACGAAGCTGTCAGTGTCACGACTTAATACCAATGGTCCAAATTACCCCCCTCCTCTGGCAGGTTCTTGTTACTGTCGCGCAAGGTAAATTTCGATCCACTGATATCTATTGGTCAACTAACACGTCTCTTTCGCCGTCCAGCCCCTCCTGTCGCGCGCAACGTCCAAGCCAACGCCCTCGCCGTCCGTCAGGTAAATACGAGCGACCTCCCTTCTCAATGCCAAAGCACGTGCCAAGTCATCAATACGATAAGTGTGAGCACGCCTGATAACTTAAGCTTTTGACATCGCTTAGACGTACCCCAGGACTGCGACAACAGTCTATCTTGCATTTGCGTGTCGACCATCGGAACCCAGCTTCAAACATGCATGGATTGCCTTGTTACGGCTGAACCATCTGCCTCGACAGACGCTGATTCCGCCATCGACAGCTGGAACGAAGCTTGTGGTGGATCTCTTACTGTTCGTGGATGGTTTCACGGGTTCGATTTTATGGTGCCCTAACAGTGTTTCACATTTACAGCTTCCCAGTGGACAGACTTCTACTTCGACATCTGCTGCGAAGAGCTCTACTGCTACTGGTAGTAGTAGTGGCAGCAGCCCTTTCGTCACCAAGACTGGTGATGCTATGAGCATAAAGACAGCTATTGGGGCACTTGGCCTGATCGTTTCCATTGCTTGCGGTATCATCATACTCTGAACATGAGTGCCAACCTTAGTCTTTTAGGGCGGACCTTTCTTTGACAGATGATTAACATAACCACACCCTCCTTTCTTAACACTGCATAAGTACACCTACTGTTATTGAACAATTTAACTAGTAAAATTATTCGCCGCTATGGCACGGTTGCTCGTTGGTATCGCTGAAACAGGAAGAATTAGCCATCGTCCGAAGTAAGAGTCTGTAAGACAAATTGAATACAAGGTTTGCAATGCGTACCTGTGTGTTCTCTGATTTCTGTCATCTCTATATCAAATGTCATAGTCTGGCAGATGCGTGATATGTAGCTCAAACACCCCTTGTACACTGCCTCGAACTTGAAAGTTTTTAAAATAGACAGTCCTATAAGTCGACAAAGAATCGTGATTAGATGAATTGTCCCTCTCTTCCCGTGGGCGCCTCTCGAGACGTAGGCGAGTAATCTAAGGTCCACATGTTCGCATCCGACACGACAGAATTTATTACTTTATGTACATATATTATGTCGATAAATGCGCCTTTGGTTTTCCCTGTCGTAGCTAATTCCGATACTGTATAATTCACATGATGAAGTGCGTGAGGCGAGATGGCAGAGCACTTACCCACAAAAAATAACCTCTCCCACAAATGAAAGCAACGGTACAATATTTTCCACATAAGTGTTGTTCAGCGGTGTTGTAGACGGAACCATGTCCTGCAGTATGTGAAATTCTACCACCGGCACCTGGAAAGATGCAACTCCTAGCATCGCCAAAAGCCAATCAACTTGTGGTTTCTCCGGCGACCCCAACAGCGTCAATTTCCGCAACATGGGAAGATGAAGTACGGTGAATATTTTGATAAGCTCTTGCCGGTAGTTATCTGGCAAGGAGGAGCAGAGGGGGATGGTCATCGATTTGAGCATCACCAAATCATTTATAGGGGCAGGAACATAACCGCAGGATTTAAGTTCATCAACCACGATGGTCTCCAGATTAGGGAAACTGGCTATAGTGGAGCAGATAGCAACCGCAGAAGCGGCCAGAATATGGATGTGACGTAGATCTTTGCAAGTAATGGGAGCGCGGCGACCGGTAAGGGTGGGCTGTCCGACTGGAACGGTCCGAGAAAAGGTACCATGGATGGATAAGCTGGAAAGCTTTGGTGCATTGAATCTCCTGATATTTGAATGATGGCACTCCAAGGTTTTCAACTGAGGTGTGTTGAAATCAGGATGCCAGTCTTTAACGGATGATAGAACCACCGTTTCCCAACGCTGGCTTTCAGAAAAGAGGATATCGAGAAGTTGAGAGTCTGCCGCTGGTATCCGACCGGGTTTGCGGCGCCAAGTGAACCAGCGTCTGTCGGTGATGTTAAGGGTGAGGGGAAGCCTACCAGAGCGATCAAGCCAACACTGAATGAAATATGGAAGGAATGGTTTCAACGGTTTAGCTTTTTCAGGGAGCACGATCTGGATGCGCGACCAGACTCCTGGCGTTGAATATGCAACGACTCGCCAAAAATGGCACACTCTGGCAAGTACTAGGGGAGGGCTGGTAACATCGAGCGAAATGGAGGTATATTTTGATGTGTTGTTGATAATGGGACAGCCTGACGTGTCGTTAACGATGAACAGGAAGACTCGTTGTAGAAGTTCCACTGGCAGCCGATAGATATATGCTGCAGGTTCTGTTGGCGTCAAGTTGTCCGCAACCGTGGAACGATGGCGAGAGAAGGGGATTAATGTGTGTATCAGATGAAGCAACTTCATGCTAGTCTTGCCGAATGCTTTCGTCGTTAAACGCTGAAAGTTGAAAGCAGATCTAGTGTCACTTTAGACTTTAGGAGACTGGTCAAAGTTTGGATATATTTGTTTGTTGCGTCATTCTTGGCTAAAGTGGGTATCGGTACCTTTGTGTAAGTTACAACGTTTCGACAAGGCAAAGAATCAAACCTAAACAGACAGATTGGGAGGAAGACAATTGCATATATAATGAACCAATCCAAATACATGGTGTTCGAATATGAGATTACACAATGATTCTGAGAGTGCCACGAACATGCTATCGTACAGATTAATCTGACAGGGGTAGCGTTGGAAAGCCGTAAACGTCAGTAGAAGCATCGACTGGAATCCACATCATACAAGGGTATACAAAACCTGAAACAATGAAATGACACAAAAAAACATCAGTCATGGTGCCATGAGGGCAGGTGGTCTGTGGAGGAGGTGATGCTGCGTGGCTAATTGTGCGCGCTCCCCTGCAAGCTTGTTGATCGAATTCAAGAGATCTCCGCGACGAAGAGGCTCTGCAAAACAAGTATCCGTGAGACTCAGAGGCATGGGTAAATGAGGTACATACTGGTGATGTGGTCGTCCATACCTGCCTGCAGGCATCGCTCGCGATCACCAATCACTGAAAAAGAAAATCAGCAAGTACCCCATCCCTAAGCCTCGAGATTTTAACGTACTAGCGTGAGCAGTGAGGGCGATGATAGGAATCCGTAGGAGTCCTTTGTGCATCTCATACGCTCGGATGAGCTCAGTAGCTTCCATTCCTCCCATGAAAGGCATCGATACATCCATCTTGGGGAGATATTATTATTGCGGGTGAGTTATCGAGTAAAAAATGACTCACCAAGATAATGTCAAATGGCTTGCTCACTTGTACCCGTGCTTTGAAAGCTTCGACAGCTAGACTTCCATTCTCTGCGATCTCGACTGTGTGGCCATACTTCTCCAGAATCTTGACTGCTAGTTTCTGGTTAACCATATTATCCTCGGCAAGCAGGATGTCAAAGACAACATCATTTGGTGCCGAGACAGGTGAAACAGTATTCGACTCCAGAGCGGAAATAAGGGCGGAAGCAAGATCTTGAGCTGTGACTGGAGTCGTAACCTGCGAGCTGATGCTGTTGTCCAAGCACCATTTAACTACTACTGTCAACCCCATATCACCAGAGCACATCCTCGCATACTCACGATTCAGACGTGGCATCGAAGGCGCCAATAATACAATGGGAATATAGCGAAGATGCTCATATTCCCTGATACTCTCGGTCTATGATGAAGACATGAGGTAAGCATGAACCTATATGGCACCCAAATAACGTACCATGCTCAACGAGTCCACGACGATAGTGTCAATATGCGGACAGCGTTCCTTATCAGCCACCTCACTGACATCGTGAATAACATATGGCCTCAGCCCGAGCTCCTGGATCCTTTGGACAACCCCAGTGGTGTCGTTGAGGGTGTCAACAAACAAAATAGCACGCCTGTGGAATGGTTGCATCTTTTGCAGTGTGGTCTCCAGCGTACTTTGGGAAATCTGTGATGTGATCGTGAAGAAGAACTTGCTTCCCTTCGAGACCTCGCTCTCGACCCACATGTTGCCTTGCATGAGGTTAACGAGGCGCTTGGAGATGGAGAGGCCTAGACCGGTTCCCCCATACTCCTATGGGATGATCAGCTACTTGCGACAAATTGAGACATAGACCCACTCTCGTTGTCGAACCATCTGCCTGACAGAACGTGTCGAAAATGAGATTCAATTTGTCTTTGGCAATGCCGATCCCCGTATCGGTGACGCAGAACTCTAGTGTCACACTCGAGTCATCCAGCGCCAGTAGCCTTGTGCTAAGTGCAACGTGGCCTTTGCGGGAGACCTTGGACGGTGTGAACTTGATAGCGTTACCCACCAAGTTCGTAATGACTTGACGAAGTCGTAGCGAGTCGCCGATAAGTTGATCAGGAATGTCCGGGTCGACATCATATGTAAGATCGAGGTTGTTTTGAGAGGCGCGGACGACGAGGGTCTTGAGTATGCCGAAAACTGTTTGACGAAGGGAGTACGAGACAGCTTCCATGGTCATTCGACCGGCCTCGACTGTAGAACATGTGATCAGATTAATGCATTGACATCGGGAAAAAAAACTCTCACTCTTCGAAATATCCAATATATCATCGATAATGAGGAGCAGCGAGCGAGCCAATGAGTGCACTAAGAGTAAACTCTCTCGTTGCGATCGGTTCAAATCAGAGTCAAGAGTAAGCTCCGTCATGCCAATAATTCCGTTCATGGGCGTCCTATGAGACATTGAGCACAGAATGTCGAGATGAGAAGTAAGAACAACGTTACCTGATTTCGTGCGACATGTTCGCTAGGAATTCAGATTTACTCCTGTTCGCTAGCTCAGCTGCCTCCCTCGCGGCGGTATTTTTCTGGATGCTGTCACGTAGATTGAATACCATCTGATTGATCTGTGTTTTCAAAGAGTCCATCTCTCCGCTGGCCTCAACCGTGATGAAACGAGTGAAATCTCCATCCATAGCAGCTGCCGAGATCTGGGCAAATCCACGCACTTGCGTGGTCAAGTTACCAGCCATAGTGTTGACGGACATCCTACAGCGATGTCAACACCCATTTCCGCGGATCATGTCCCTTACTTACGTGATTTCTTGCCAGATACCCTGGACGTTGCCCACCTCAGCCTGGACACCCAATTTACCCTCTGTACCGACTTCGAATGCGACCTTCTTGACTTCCTTGGCGAAGATTGCCAATTGAGCAATCATGTCGTTGATAGTGTTGACTAGGCTTAGCATCTCTCCGGACACAGAGACACCAGTGATTTGTTGAGTCAAGTCTCCACGGGCGACAGCAGTCTGACGACAAACTCAACATGAGGACTGGGTCGCGGTAAACAACACTCACGGTCGCGACAGCAATGGTTCGGACTTGTAAGGTCAACTACAACGCCGAACAATCAGCGTTAGGGGCGTCAAAGATGGAATGGACCCACGTTAGCAGCCATGACATTCACGTTGTCCGTCAAGTCCTACTTGAGATAAGTATTGAATCACAAGTCTGTGCAACGTACTCACCTTCCATGTACCACCGACGTTGGTTACACGAGCCTGGCCTCCCAATCGTCCTTCCGTGCCGACTTCTCTTGCGACACGAGTGACTTCATCGGCGAAGAGACTCAAGCTCTCGGTCATGCCGTTGACAGTCTCCTTCAATTCCTTGATCTCGCCACGCACGTCGACCTCAATCTTCTTCGTCAAGTCGCCACCAGCAACAGCCTTTGTCACTTCTGCGATCGACCGCACCTGGTTGGTCAAATTCATGGCCATAAGGTTGACGTTATCTGTAAGAACCTGTAATGAACGTCAGAAATGATGTCATTTCGGATCGTCACATCCTACCTTCCACATGCCCTGCACATCGGGAACATACGCTTGCCCACCCAAGATACCTTCCGTACCGACTTCCAAAGACACACGAGTGACTTCGTTGGCGAGCGTAGACAATTGGGCAACCATAGAATTGACGGTCATCTTCAAATCTAGCATTTCTCCCTGCACATCGACGTTGACCACTTTGCTTAGATCGCCCAAGGCGACAGCTTTTGTGACCTCCGAGATCGATCGTACTTGGTCAGTCAAATTGCTAGCCATTTTCTGTGCCACATCATATCAGCGACATCGACGACCAGAACAGTGTTTATATAACTCACGTTCACATTGCGTGTCAAGTCAGCCCAGGTACCCTGCACACCTTCTACGCGAGCCTGACCACCCAATATACCTTGCGTACCGACTTCAAGCGCGACACGAGTGACTTCGGATGCGAAGGCGCTTAGCTGGTCCACCATGGAGTTGACAGTGCCCTTCAACGTTGACATCTCGCCTTCGACCTGGATCTCAATCTTCTGCGTCAAGTCGCCCCTAGCAACAGCTGTTGTGACATTGGCAATAGACCGTACTTGGTCCGTCAAGCTTGAACACATCCGATTAACCTTAAGAGGCAGATTAGGCCACTGCCGATAAGACACAAGTAAGGGACATACATTGCGAACCAACTCGAACCAAACACCTTGAACATCTGGTACGTGCGCTTGACCGCCCAACTTGCCTTGAGAGCCGACTTCTAACGTGACTCGGGTGACTTCGGCGGCTAATGCACGGAGCTGGATAACCATTCCGTTTACGGTATTCTTCAAATCAAGGATTTCGCCACGAGCATCGACATCAATCTGTTTTGACAAATCCCCCTGGGCGACAGCTTTAGTGACCTTGGCGATGCTTCGGACTTGACTGGTCAAATTGGCAGCTAATTTATTGACGACGCCAGTCAATTCCCGCCAAGTACCTTCGACATCCAACACGAGAGCTTGTCCACCGAGTTTACTACGGAAGACTGAGCAAATCGTATAAGATCTGGGTTAGCGGTCACTTTACCCTTCTGTACCGACTTCTTGACTGACACGAGTGACTTCTTTGGCAAACTGTCCCAATTTGTCGACCTGACGATGATATGCATGAGTAAGACCTTGAGATAAGATTCTGGACGAATACCATAGTGTTTATGACGTCCTTCAATTGAACCATGACCACACCCTGCACAGGAACCGTAATTTTCTGGGACAAGTCACCTCTGGCCACAGCATTGCACACACGAGCGACATCTTGAACCTGAGCCTTGAGTAACCTTAGTTCTTCGACGGCGCTCATGCCGCTTTCGAATGCCGCAGCAGCAAGAGGACCAGGGGGGATGACGAGAGGAGATCCGCCGGGGGAGCCATCAAAGCTGCTGCTATTAATTCGGCTCATCATCAAAGTGTCGGTGATAGCCTTGCCGCATGTTGGGCAAGCCATGTGTTCGATGTGCGATGTGGGAGGTGCCGAGCTTGAGCTTCCGCTTGAGAATGACCGAAGGAGTGTCGCGGCATCAATATGACTTGGAAGTCCGTCGAGTGATAAGGACATCGAACCTGCACGAGCGGAGTGTGGTTTGCTGACTGGTGTGCGATCGCTATTGGC